GGCAACCAGAAGTACAGAGCTGTTGAGGACGACAAACAGGATGTTCACGATCAAGGAATCATTTTCTTCAGTGCCGTCAGAGGTGCTGTACATTGCTCCGAGACAAACGTCAAAAAAGATAACCCACAGAACAAAGGTTTGCAGTAGATCTTCAAATTTGCCTTTTATCGGGCGGAAGAATGTGTAGGCCACACCAAAGACACTCACGACCAGCAGAGTCAGACCAATCTGGGTTACTACCTCAGAACCAAAAAGGAAAATCAGTGAGATAAGAATCAGCTTTCTGTACATCTCTGTTACTTCCCAGAACCAAAATTTATCCTTGTAGTTCTCAAAAAAGACTTTTAATCCAAAAGAAAGTTCCCCATTACGCTGCGATTTTCTGTATTTGTAAATGAGTCGCAGTATCATCAAAGGAAATCCCACAGGGTATACGGAAAACACGGCAGCAAATGGCCAATACATCTTGTGCTGGGGAGTAAAGCATTGGATCGAGTAATCAGCCTTCATGAGAGAGATACACTGGCTTCCTTCATCTGAAAAGCAATGTTTGACGCATGCGCCGTGAAGAGGAAGAATTTGGATAATTGTCTTACTTGTCATGGGATATGATGCCAGCAGAAACAGGAAAATGTTCCGATAGCAGGACCTCTTCAACCTAGAAAGAGCACGTAGCTTTTCGCTCTCTGGACGATCCTTATTGCCTTTGATGTACAGCGATTGAAGGAACATGTAAACAAAGGCAAAAGAAACGACAAGAAAGGTAACAGAAAGAACCAAGATGAATTTTAAGAACGGGTCAAGTCGAAGATGAGAATAGACGCAACTCAATGGGGCAAATTGAAAGATATTGCCATTAAACAACTTCAGAAACTTGTCCATTGCGATCAAAGTAACTGGCCAATGAACTCTGGTTAGTGCCGAGAAAACACCGGCAATAACCTGGTAAAACCCGATGACAATTTTGAAACAAGACATGATGATATCTGCAGCAGTACGATTATTTTCTGTCTTTTTGGAGTCTCCCCACAGAACCATTGCAAACACCAGAATAAAGACTCCAATAACCACCAACGAGGAAATTATGGAAACCAAGAATCCAGGACATTTCAAACAGAAATTAAATCGTAAGTAGTAGCCATGAGAACAGGTAGCACACAAGTTTCCTTGGTATCCTTCTTCACACTCCGAATCTATTCCTCCCTTGCAGGACCCAGCAAAAGGACATTTTACTGGTTTGGGCAGTGAAATAGTAAATTTGGAGTACGTATCGTTGTAGTCAGGACCAAAACTATGGATGTTGTCAACAAACTCTTTGTAGAACTCTTTGCTACTTTGATTGGCCCATTTCCAGAAATAATTAGGTGCAAGTATTGCTGTATCGTCGACACATTTGATGCCATGAGCTGGACATTCTGAACATGGACCAAAGCGATCCAAACGGTAAAATCCACGCAGGCATTTGCATGCACGATAACCAGCATGTTCGTTTGAGAGCGTCCCTGTTCAAAGATAAAGGAATCATTTCTAGCTGGTTACTAGAGATAATACTTAAGGAAGTACATAGGATTTTTTTAACTGTCTTTTATTTTTCACCGGATAATCCAGACGTTTCATAATGGTATCAGTGATCGCAAACTCGGTTGAAACTCTTTAGGCCTTAGACGAGAGAAAGCTTAACCAGAAGCATATAGCCCAGGACGCAGTTGTTAGAAGGCCGATTAGCGCTTAACCTGAGGTTAAATTTAACCCGGCTTTCTTTTTCTTGTGTTCAAAAGCATTTCCTCGGATAATTGTCTCTATTATTTTTAGAGCTTCCAATCATTAACTTGTAGACAAAAAGAATTCTAACTGAAATGATTTTTAAGCTTTCAAATCTGAATTCAAATCTTGCACTAACCCTGGGTTATCTTAACCCAGCTTAGAACAACTCGGCCCTGAAGCGTAGAACAACGCTGGGTGTTTTGGAAAACCAATTAACACTTACTTCCTTTTATAGAATTACTGATACCCGAGACTGTCGTGCTAGTGTGAAGAAAACTTTTTATCGCAATGAAACGAAGCGCTGAGAGCAATCAGAGTTTTAGCATGTAAAATACGGCCAAAACTGGAATCCAAAATGACCAGGATTGACTTATTCCGGACAAGCATCTTACAAAAAAACTACTACTAGCTTAACTTGATGACGAGAGTTAGCGCGCGCTTCGAAGAGTGCGCGTCAACATTTTTTTTTTTTACCTGATAGTTTTCAAAGTTGCTATCTTAATATTACTAATCTGATTCCATATTGGGCAAACTAAATGTCTGTGCTTCTAATTGGACGGCTAAAAACCTTAACATGACTCAAAACAAATAAGGGGAAATGGGAGGTCCCCTCCCTACAAATTCCCACAATCCACGAAATGTAGACACTGAAGTTGCTAACTGCAAGAGATTGTCCTTTCGCTAGTGAGTCTTTTACGTCTCTTTTGCCTCACCACTTTCACTTACGCTGTTAACGTTTTTTTTTTTGCACAGTTATAGACTTCAGTTTTGGAATTCACAGCAAAGTTAACGTTTCTCGGTACTAATTCATTTACGGAGGGTAGAAAAAATCTGTTAACTGGCTTCTATTCTGGCAAAATTAAGTGGTTGAGGGTTAAACGGAGATGACGCACTTTTAATGCGCCATTAATTATTTCTCTTTCTACAATTGGCGAAAAAATTATTGAGAACTCAAATAGAGTAACTTCAGAGAACACAAGAATCCGCACCCCTCCCCTGTCCCCTCCGTTCAAAGTTGGGCTGTTTGTTATTTTCTGTAGGTAGCTCGAGCATCGCATAACATTGCATCGGGGGTAAAGGCTATATTTCCTCCTTTTGAAGTCAGTAAAACGTAAAAAAGCCCAGTTTAGGGCGAAGTGTCTCAACTCATTTTGTCGCCGATTGTAGCTTCAAGAAGCGTCTTTCTTTGTAGTTTGGCTACAGGGGTTTCCTCAAGTGTATACAAAAAGGACAATAGGAATGTTCTCTCTGTTTTCAATTTATATCAATGATATTAGTGTTGCCACAAAGGGCCCAGAATCAAAAAAGCCTAATGGAAGCCAGATTATAAGGATTGGTATGGGAATTTATCGTAAGATCGATAAAACGGTCAAAATGTACATAAACTGGTATTAAAGTATACATACCTCATTAAGAGTTGTGTCTGTGTTGTTTTCATACTGCGTCCTGCCCTATAAACGCCGTTTTAGCAAGTTTTAATGTTTTGGTTTCCCAAGAGCTGAGAAGAAGACATGAGAAAACTCGGCTCTACTACGCTGCTCGAAAAAAAATCACCAAATTTTCCTTCATTCCACTCCAATCGCTCCAAACTTCGCTTGAACATGGACCGAAGATTTCATTTCCTTCCTTGAAAACGTCAATTTAGTTCCAAACATCCAGCCATGGCTTCAAGAGGACGAGAAATGTCACTAAAAGATTTGAACTTCCCTCTTCTACGAATCCGCTCTTCTCCGCGGTGAGCTATCGATGGCGTTGTTCTTGGCTTAGTAGCCATGCTGCACGTTCTAAATCCCCTCGATGGGGAGCGGTGTTTTTCCCGCCACATCTTTGTAAAATGAGCGAAAGCGCTCCCTGGGTACCCTTGCGAATCTGGTTTTGTATTGGTTGATTTTCCCCCTGGCCATCCCTGCCAAGGGAATTTTGAATGAACGGCGTAGCTACTTAGCCAATTGGTAGTTCACCACGGAGAAGAGGGGATCCACCGGAGCGGTAAGTTCAAATCTTTTAGCGACTTTTCTCGTCCTCTTGGGGCCATGGCTCGATGTTTGGAACTAAATTGACTTTCGCAAGGAAGGAAAACCTTCGGTCCATGCTTAAGAGAAGTTTGGGAGCGACTGGAGTGCAATGAAGGTAATTTTTGGTAGCTTTTTTTTCGGCAGCGTAGCACAGGCGAGTTTTCCCTTGTCTTGTTCTTAGTGGTTGAGAAACTTGCTAAAAAGGCGTTTATAGGGCAGGACACAGTGAGAAAACAGCTCTTCATGAGGCATGTATACTTTAATAGCTGTTTATGGTCATTTTAACCGTTTTATCGATTTTAAATTCCCATACAAATCCTTATAATTTGGCTTCCAGTAGGCTTTTGTGATTCTGGTGCCCTGTGGTGCGGCATCCAGTAAACTATCATGATTATTCACACTTTTTACAGATGATACCAACTTTATCAAGAAAAACACAAACCAACAACAATTTATCGAAACAACTAATAAGGAATTAAGTAAATTATCTTTATGGTTCGAGGCAAATCGGTTGTCGTTAAGAAATAATTATAACTAAAACTAACTACATAATTTTCTTTTTTTAAGTTTTTTTTACTGAAAAATTAATGAATGAGCTTGGGATAATTGCAGAATAAGGATTTATAAAGCACAAATGCGAAATTCATGTTCTCCTATGCTCTAGAGTTTTCACGATCATGATCCCAAGTAATCCCTGATAGAGGGTATTTTTATCCTAACCTAGAATAGATCTCAAAATGTAAAAGTTAGCATGCTCAAGAAGACTTGCATGCACTTTACCCGCCCCCCAGTAAACTGCAATACAGTAAAAACCTGCGAGTAAAACTTGCATTTTCCCGAGTCAATCTAAACAGGTTCTTACGGAAGTGGTAATACTAAGCACAAATTTAGGCTAATTAGGTTCTTAAATAGGTTCACATTTTCTGAAGAAAGAAAGCACATTTTAGCTATAATTCTGGCTCGTAAAATTTATACATTTAATATTTTTTTAATTTGCCTCAATAACAATTTTATTATATTTTCCACAATGGCATTTATATTGCAGTTGGAGTAATAAAGTCTCCAAAGAGGATACTGATTAAAGATTTCCGAAAAAAAGAACCTGTTTCAAATTTTAAGGTTTACAGGTTCTTGTATAGAGGAAGTGAAAATGGTAAATTTTTTGCCTTTTAAACTAGTTCCTTCCGCGTATGTTTTTACCGTATTCTAAAACAAAGGAATTAGTGGGGCGTGTCTTTTCTAGCGTGAATTCAGTGGCTTTCTTGCTTTAGGTTGGTTTTCTAGTTATTGTCGAAGGCTACATGACGTTATTTTTTTTGGCAAAAAAGGAATCAGAGAGATAAAATTGTCTGCGTCTTCAGTCAGGAAAGATAAGTTTTGAATGACAGATTTCTTTCATGTTGGGAAATGGAAATTAAGGAGGTACTAAGCTCTATGGATTATAGTTTAACGAGGAAGGTAGTCACGCTGGTAGTAAAATGATGTAAGTTTATGAACAATTAATGAATACTATGATGGTTCCTACCATACGGACATGCCCAGCAGTCAGTTGCACGGGTACCTGGATGTCGTTCTTTGGAGACGTAAGTCCCTATACTGCATTGCTTGCAGATAACCTGTCCCATTTGATCTTGATAGAAACCTCCTGTGATAAAAACATGGCACTTTGTAAAACTATGTTGTGTTAGATAAAAAATTTATACACTTACCCTACTTGGAAACACTTAATTGAAACCGGCAATAAAAAAATCATACTAGAAATTCACAAATCTATTTCTATCATATTAACTGCTAACAAACTTTGATATAATAGCACAGACGTTCCTTTATTTTTTGTTACTCTTAAATTTTTTAAACATAAGGTGCGGTCACACACCACTTAGTAAAAAGTCTTTTCCGTGATTTACCAAGGTTACTTACGGTTATACGTAAATCTATTTACCACGGTTGATTTCCTTTTTCACGAAATTATTTTCCCGGGAAACACTTGAAGGACTTTCAGAGCGAGCGGGATTTTCGGTTGCAAAAAAAAAAAATCATGACCCGGATGGTCCAGGTTGAATTTGTGCAATTTCAGAATCAAGCGAACAAGCGAGTGAATCCAAATTAGAATTTGCCCGGCAAAAAAAAATACAAACGTTTGCTCAAATTATCTGGTGTGTAAGCAAACGATTTCAAATGCTTCTCTGAAGATAACTTTAAAATAGTGCGAAATCCAGCCATCACAACGGATCATAACGTGTTATTTTTCTGGTGTTGTTGGAAAGAAAGGCGCTAAGTAGGCCCTTGATGATAACCGAAATTCTTTGTCAACTGGAGCTTCGTGATTGGCTCTCTTACCGTGGGCAGCAAAACACCCTTGCTACATGTAATTACCACGTTGTCATGGGCGTTTTCTTTGTGTTTTTTTTCCGTATCCATGTTTATGTAACACGGGAAGTTTACCTCGGGAAATCCGGTCGACACACTAACACAAGTTCCCGCGGTAAAAGGGTCATTTACCACGGTAAAAGTGTCCCGTGTTGCCACACCTCTAATTTGTTACTACAGTCATTGTCTTATGCAGAAACGGATTATGCTGTGCTTTCTGTTTCCGTCCATCTGAATTCCTTACATGCTTTGCAAGGTACTTACCAAGTACTATGTGATTAAAGGGTTATGTCTTTCAGAAGAATAATAGAATAGAATTTGTCCAGTAAGGATAAAACAAATTTGATCTTTTTGGCCTCAGACTTAATTGCGAAAACAGCGAAAACTTTCCATAGTAGTAGCAATTGCCTACGAACTCTAAACAACAGCCGCAGTTAATTGTATTTATCATTACTCTATACAGACCCCTCTAGCGAAGAACTATGATCATAATCTACCAACTACGTTAAAGCTCTCTCTTCACGAGAAAGGCCAAATGTTGTTATGCTGTTAATCTTTTGAATTCTGGCAAAACTTTTAAATAAAAACTATATTCAAATTACACCGTTGAAATTACCTGCAGGACACGCTTGACAAGAACCATACACGTATATGTTTGGGGAAATATCGCTGACATGGTAACCAACCGGACAAAGACTGCAGTTGTAACATCTCCATAACATTGTCAGTCTACATTTGTGGCACACAAAGCCTGAGCGCCTAAGGCTCCAAGCGGTAAAGACTTCCTCATTAAGACGCAGGAGGTGAAAAGTAGTCGAAGGAGCACATTCACTAAAGCATGCACAAAAGATCGCAACATTAGTTAGTCCAGTTATAACAGGAAAATGAAAAATGGGATCTTGGACTCGGGTTCAAGTTAGGTTTTGCTCCCATTTTCATATTCCCGTTCCCTGTTCCTCGTTTTGGTAACATCCGCTCTACTAGCCTGAGAAAACAGCCGACATTTGGCGATGCTACCAATGGTTTTCCCGCCAAATGACGGCTGAGAAACGAGCGCAGAAATTCCATACTGATGACGCTTCACTACCCAGATCTGGGTAGTGCTTCTGATTGGTTGAACTAAATTTCCCAGGAGGAACGACCAATCAGAAGCACTACCCGATGTGGGTAGTGACGCGTCATCAGTATAGAATTTCTGGGCTCGTTTCTCAGACTTCACTTGGCGGGAAAACCAGTGGTAGCGTCGCCAAATGTCGACTGTTTTCTCAGGCTACCGCTTTACCGACACCCGCTTATTCGGCAGACACCTTGTTATTACGCACAGTTTTGTTTATCTCTCGGGAAAGCCCTCATGTTTTTTCTAAACTCAACCCGCTTGATACGGACACCCTTTAATGCCGACACTTTCTATGGCGCCATAGGTGTCGGTATTAACGGAATTTGACTGTAGCAGAATTTTATTGATGTGTACCCACTTACATAACTGAACTATAACTATTTCCGGCAGGTAGCTGATATAAGTTTCCACAAGTTATCGACCTGTAAGAAATAACATAATTTAATTTCAAATTGGTGTTTGAAAGTTGTTGTTGTGTTTGTTTTATGGTTGTTGTTGTGTCTGCGACATGGATGCCCGTCTCGAAATAAAAAAAAAACCATGTCGCTACTTTACAAGTCGCGAGCGTTGTAAGTTAATGATTCCAGTGAAAAAGGGAAAAGGCTGCTGACGTGTAGCAGCGTATTGTAAAGATCGCGGGAGACAAGCAACCGCGGCGCCAATAAAGCAATCTCTTTGTATTTCTTCTGTAAGTGAAATCAGTATTTAAAAGAATGGATGTTTGTGAAGAAGCAAACATATTGTTTCGCTCATTTGAAACATCCAACGTATGCACCAAAGCTGTGGGCCAGTTTCCTTATGTGCGTGCTCAAAGAAACCAACGGCATAGATAACTCAAGGAGAAAGCAAAAAATCTGTAATGTGTCGCACAATAAAGTTCAATCAAGGCTAAAACAAATGCAACCAATTTCGTTGGAAAAAAAAACATGAAAATTTGAAAGCGGTGGTAAGAAACTGAGAAATACTAGCGGCCATCGAGCTGAAAATGACCTGCAGTGACAACGAAAGTGAACAGGAACACGTACGACATTTCCTCTATAAAACTTGTAACTAGGAAGTTTTTGGAAGTTTCACGTTGTAGTCGTGTAAAACAACGGCAAAGAAATGTACGAAAAAAGTGTGCTGCAAGTGCAAAGGTGTTTTTTGCTAATAAGATCTACTGATTTTTTTTGGCCGTTTTCGTTGCTGTCGCCGCTTAGCATTACACGATTTTATGTTTGGTCGAGTAAAGTATAAATATTAACGAGAGCTTCGCTTTAAGACCTGGTTAAGTCTATATATGAAATGTTGAATAAGTTTTCGTTCATGGATTCACCTGTCAAAATTTTGACTAAGCGTGTCGAGGGGAGACTAGGTAGTTCCTGGATTGTGACCAAACAATAAGCAAAGCTTAAGAAATTTATTTTCGAAAGTTTTGTCGTAAGTCGAACACAAGAAACTTCAATCTAGATTTTTAATCGCGCGAGTCAGTTGGTTGCCCATAAAATGGTCAATTTTTCGCCAAAACGAAACGCTACGTACATGGCTGGGGCTCCCTTCCCTAGCATATTGAGTTTTTTACCCCTACTCCCAGATTTTGTTCGGACGGGAGGCCGGGCGTACGCTGACGTCACCGGGTTTCCACAGTTTTTTAAAGTAGCGGACATATTTCTGAAAACACCAGACGCGAAATTTTTTGGCGCCGCAGAAGCTACTCAGCGGGTGTGGGGGTATGCTCCACCAGGAAATGTTTGTGATAGAACGCTCAGGAAAGCTGTTTCCAGCGTTTCTGGAACCCAAGAATCAGTTTCCCAGGCAAGGCTGGAGTTCACTGGAGCTTACTCAAATGAAATTGGACAGTTGGTAGGGGAATGGCAACAACATAATTTTCAGTTGTTTATCTTTGCGAATTTATTTTCTATTTATTTTCAAAAAAGTTACAAGATAACTGAGGTTGTACTCTTTTTCACTCCAATTTCGTTTAAATGAAAAGGGAAAAACAGCAAAGAAATTTAAGAGGCTGTCCGCGTAAGAACCGATAAGGTAAATTTCGGTGTATCACGGATTGCCCTGATTTTTTCAGTGGAAGCTAACTATCCTATCCCATGAAGAAATATCACATTTATTTGGACCAACTCAATTTTTTATCTATATTACAGGAAGATTTTCTCGGTCACCTACAACTGGCCCGTTTGCCTTCACAAGTGGTGCGATTTTGGTGAAACTTTAGGGCTCTGTCAAACCTACCTTAAATAGCCGAATAAGCTGATTATTTTACACACAAAAGTTTTAACTCTCATTAACAGTGTCAAAGTTTAATGGTTGCATTTTGTGGAAAGTTGGCTGAGGTATGATTTTTTTTAAATGACCGTTAATTTGCTCAGCAGGAAAAGTAATTTGCATAACTAGAGCTGAACGGTAATTTCGCGAAAGTGGCACCTGACCCAGACTCAAGTCTGTGATAAATCAGAAGTACTAAGACCAGTCTACTTCTTAATGCAATAAAATTTGTGGGCACTCTTCTCTGCGCGCTGTACAAAGTTCCGTTAATGTTACAAATTCGCCATTTTGACAGCAAAGCTGGAATAGTAACGGTCCGCATTTGATCGACTAATTTCCACAGTTTTAACGTTTCTAGTTATTACCAAATGTCATTAGACCCTTTAAATGTTGGACTTTTGAAAACATGAGGAGAAAACTTGGTAATCACTTTTTCTAGGTTTTTTTCCTGGTCGACGATCAGAACGCGACTTCATTCTCCGTATGCAAATTAGCCTTAGATGCGTCGTTTCAACAAATTGAATTGACAGGAAACATAACTACTTATATTTCACATTTTTAAGAGAAAATATCTCTTAGAACTTTCCACGGAAAAACACGAACGATATATGACTTAGAATCCCCTTAGGTCTGTTTCACGAGGAAGAAGTAGTAGAAGAAGATATGTTTACGCAGGGGCACCCAACGACAATTTTCGGAAAATATCTGTTCGGAAGACGATTTGAGATCTAGAATTTTCGGAACATATGTTGTAAAATTTCTTGCTTGCCTGCCTCTCCTAGGATTTTCGAACATCTACAAAATGGTATAATTACCCATTTTTAACGGATTTTAACCCTAAAAAAGGCCACCTAGAATTTTCGGGAGCCTTTTCCTGGCTGAAATTTTCGAGAAGGTAAGTTTTTATCCCTATAATTTTCGGATCACTAGACTTTCAGC